AGCCACCTGCACCCTACAGGGGATGGGGCTGATGGGCAGAGATCAAGATCACAAGATCACAAGATCCACCACTATGTGCATAGGTCTCTGGGAAGTGCAGTGATTTTTGGAGAGGCAAAGCCTTGCTTCTGTCTGCATCCTGGGTGGCATGAGCCCTGACTTAGCTCTGGGCAGGCGTCCTCCTGGTACCCCAGGTATGTGAAGTGAGGCTCTGATGTGGTCTCCCACCCTGCCTGGCCCCGGACTTTGTCCAGGGAAGAAATTGAGGAGGTGGCTGCATGCAATGGGGTGTCAATGGGAATGCAGCTCTACAGAGCCCTTGGTTGGGCCTTTGCACCCTGCTGAGTGAGGTGCTCTGTGGACACAACTAGACATGTGTAGCAGAGCCTTATGTGCTAGTGGCCAGGAGGGAATTGGCCCCCATGGTTTCCGGGCATTCAGGCAGCCCCATGAGCACAGCATCACTGTGCCTGTACATCTCTGGGCTGCATGTGGTCCCCTCTCCTTGCTCCTGTGGCTGAGGGAAAGCAGTGGGTGTGAAAGCGTTTGTGTTGCCAAAAGAATTAACACCCTGCTGTTGCGCCCTATAAATCTTTCAAGTGCTGGAGGCTGGCTTTATCCTCCTGTGTTGCAGTTTAATGGTTTCCGTTCGCAGTAACCTGGCCTTGTGTTCTGAGGTTATTGATTTAAAGTCTGTTGTGGAGGCTGTGAGAGCTGCAGAAAGGTGTTTTCCTGTCGCCCAGCTGGTGGCAAAGGCTCCTCAGACAAGGTTATTTGGGGCCTTGGGGGGGGGGGGGAGGGGGGTGTTGCCCAGGACCAAGTACCCACATCACCATGGGGGTGGGCAAGCTTGATAGGACCTGACTTGTGATGCTCAGCCTGAAAACACAGACACCAACCACACTGTGCAGAGCCCCTCATGGTCTGCAATGGTTTCCTCCTCTAGGATCCCAGCCCTTGGGGTTCAGGCCGACTCCACTCCTCCAAGCTCAGAGGTCCCCTCGAGAACTGGGAGGGATGCTTATCCTGTTCTAAGGCTCCAGCATCTCTGCTGTCCTACATCACTTGCCCCAAATCTCCCCCTGGCCCTGGTGGACAGCCAGGAGTTGTGTGTGCTTTAAATCTGTGCAGCTGAAAGGTTCATTTCCATGCTCCCTCCTACAGCTGCTTTGCAGACACCTCGTGTCCTTTTGCTCACATTGGGATATTCTTCCAGGGCCATCCCATAAGCAATTGTGTGTAAGGATGCAATGGATGTGTTGTAGGTGCCTCTAAATTGAATGTCTGCTCCAGCCAGTAACCAGGTATTGCTAATGCTTTCTGAGTCTTCCTATAGAAAAGTCTGCAGCTGTAATGTCCCAGGAAGCAAGTGGCCATCAGATCTACTGTCTGGTGGTAGCAAGGAATTTGTGAGAAAAATGGCATAGGATGTAGGAAATAGTCCCAAATTTGGAGAAGTATAAAAAAAAAAAAAAAAAAAGAAGAAAAGAAAAAAGGAAAACTCACAGAAAATGTAACTGCTGTGTTTTCATTTTGGTTTGGTTTGGTTTTTTTTGTGCTAAGCCTTATGTGAGCAGACCTCTGGGAGGGTAATGCTGGGAGCACTGGGGCATGAGGTCCAGCACTGGTCTCTAGTGCTTCAGAAGAAGGAAGGAATACCTCAGCACTCTTAGAAGCTAGTTAAGAAGGAAATGATTATTTCTTTATCTTCACATAGACCAGCAGAAGCCTGGAGGCCTGGGGCTGAAGCAGCACCTCCTTCAGGACACCTGGCCAGCCAGGAGCTGCAGCACGGTCTGTGTGCCTGTCAGCTGGGGCTGGTCTGTCTCAGTATCCATGCAGCTCACAGCCTTTGTGTGCAGTGGAGCTCATCCTTTCTGGATGCAGAGCTGCAAGGATATTCTGGAAGAAGTCTCCTAAAGCCTCACGCAGTGATGGTGATGTTTCTGTCTCTGCTAAAAATAACTTGTCTGATGCATCTGAGCATCATGCCATTCCTTTTTCACAGGAGAACCACACTGCTGTTTTGCATTCATCCTGCAGTGTTTCCATTTCTTCAGTTTCCAGCAAATGTCCTCCCTCATTGATATTTTGCTGAGTTTTGCTCCCTGTGTCCCCACTGAGTGACGGTAAAACCCATTGCTGGGCTCTGACCATGGCTGGTTCCCCTCCCCAGCGCGCTCTGTGTGTTGATGGATGCCCACTCCTCTCTGCAGGGCTCCCAGGGCAACATTACTGCTTGCTAAAACCACAGCTGAAATAACGTTATGTTTCACTTTGTGGTAAATCAATAAGGAAATTCTCCTTCTCTTTTGTTGGATACCTGAGCCCTGCCATTCTGCTGCTGTTTATTGCCTGGCATTCACTGGGAAATTAAAGGCTCCTATAATTGCACAATTTCTGCTCTGTATTCTTCTTGTAGCCTTAGAGACAGCACAGCATATGCTCATGGCCGTGCCTGGTGTGCAGCCGGCCCCAGAACAGCCAGCCAGGGCCCTTCTGCTGCCCTTTCTCAGGACACAACCATGCTATGGTGTCTCTAGTTTAACCTGAGAAGATGCTGCTTAGGTGACAACGGAGCCATAGGCTGCTGGGACAAACGGGCTTAGCACCTCCCGGCGTAACGCTGGGGAGGCCACGAGCCCATGGGAAAATGCCACGTGGGGTGAACTGAGTGTGGCTGGAAGGCTCACTCAGGAGGTGAGCTGAGAGGTTGTGAAATCGTGATCTTATCGGTACTTGGGGACAGGCTGCGTTCCCAGGTGAGCACTGAGAACTGCATCTTTAAACAGCTTATTTTTAGAGACGGGAAGCGTGTGGAGAAGCGGCGAAAAATGCACTCGTGCTGTTACCTGGAGACAGCTGGGGCTTGTCCTGAAGAAAGGAGCCCTGCCAAGCACCTGGGGGCAAAGGGATTCCTACATGGCACTTGTTTGCTATGACAAGGTTGCACAGGCTTGAAAAAGCAAGGGTAGCAGCTCAGGCCATGCAGCTTGAGAGGGTGTGTGCTTGGCAGTGTGAGTCAGACACCCTGACAAGTGTGACGCCTGCAGCCCATCTCGGGTCTCCTGAGGTGCACGCAGCACACGTGGTGCTGTGCACTGAAGATGCGTGGACCAGATGAGGTCTGCCTGTGGAACCTCAGGACACAGCCCTGCACTGGGACATGGAGTGTGCATTTCTAATGCTTCTGGTTGAGTTTAGTAGGGTGAACGCACTTGGCTGGTTAAAAATACGAGTTAAGTGTATGATGGATAGGATCATAACCATTGGGACAATGCACAGTAAATGCATGAGGAACTAGCTCAGGCTGTGCTTGAGCTCCTTAGGCTTTGAAGCCTGGCTATGGGGCTATGGGGCAGCCAGACCACTTTGGTCCATTTTCACAAGTGAGCACGGTGCTGCCGACTATCTCATGTGACTAAAGGGACCTGCAGGATGTGTCTGGCTGTGAACTGTAGCTGCCACCAGGGGACAATGAATAAGTCAGTGTCCTTCAGGTGCTGCTGGAGTCAGACTCTAAAGAAGGCAGTGCTATTAATGGCCTGGATCAAAGGAGTAGGTCAGAGCGGGACAGGATCTCTGGAGAGCCAGTAGCAACTGGGGGAAGGGGTGACAGCAGCCAGCATCTCTTGCTGCTATGGACAGCTGCTCCCTTAATCCCCATCTCTATCAACATCTCTAAACATCTCCGTGCAGAAGCAAGGTTGCTGAAGCAGGGCTCGGTTTTGTCTTTGCTCACTCTCTCTTGTACTGCTTTGGCTAGCAGCTAATTCCTAATTGTAGGCTCTGGAGGAGTTGCCTCTCTTGGCTGTCCGTCCCTCAGAATTTGCTGTTGGGCCCCCTGTTCCCTGTAGCCTTCCTCCTGCTGCATAAAACATGTTTCTATTAGCAATCATCTTGTTTTTAGCAAGCTGCAGTTCGAAAATGATTTTGGCTGGCCTAAATGTGTGGCGGGTTTTTTATTTAACTTGCCAGAATTTGGGATTTTCTCTGCTTAATCTTTGGCCACAACTTACACTTGTGGAAGGATGTCTTTTTTACTTCAGAATGCCTTCTTCATCAGCTGTGCATCTGTGCCATATTTGGAGATAATTCTTCGTTAGCATATTTTGACTGATGGCATATTTGAAGCTTTAAACACAGGGTCTCGGTGTCACTCACAAGCATTTTGTCCTTTCATCAGCTACTGTAAAATCCTTCTTTAATTATTTCCTAAATTTTCTACTTGCTGCCTTCTGAGGGAGAATGCACCCATCTCCTTTATTCCAGTTGCATCGCACTGCGTAGTACTTTTGTTCTCGCTTTTCCTCCCGGCAGTGATGAATTTGAGCACATTGTATTTGCTATGACAGAGTTACTGTTCACTCTTACATTTCTAACTGCCTCCCATGCACTGCCCATGACTAACTCAAGAGTTCATTCTCTACTTGGTGCCTCTGAGAGGTCGTTCTAAGAACCATTCAAGGCTAAAAATACAGTCTTTGCATCATTCTTTGACATGGCACCCACCCAGTCTATCGGGGTAACTCATGTCTCCCATTATGATTGTGTTTTCTCCACTGACAACTGCCCTGAGTCCTCCAACTGTTTTTCACTCCACTGTCCTAATCGGGTGCTCAGCAGTATGTACTCAGTGTTCGATGCATTTCAGTGAGCATATTCCTCTGGTAGTCTAAACAAAATAAAGAGACTTCCAGCTGAGAGACCTCCCTCATCTTTGGTGATGGAAACAAGCATTTTATGATCACTACCAGTTAAGGTCAGCTCACCGTGTACAAAAACGGACAGTTTTCCATATGCGTTCTGGAATCCTTGACAGGTTGAAGGCTATGGTACTCTTTCCCTATTTTCCCCCATCTCTATTCAGAGGCTGGCACTTAATTTGCTGGTTTTCGCTTCTCGATGACCAAGACTGGCTTAAGTAGCAGATTGCACACAGCATTAAATAATGCAATGTTTTCATATCTGGATTGATTTGCAGTTCTTGCATACTGGACACAGCCCCAGCAACAGCTTAAGGAGAACGGACCTTCTTAGCCCCATCCTTTGCTTTGCTAACAGTACTTGCAAAATGCTTTAGGTGCACACAGCACAGAAAAATGCGTCGTGTTTGGCTTTTAGGAGCATCTGTGTGTAAATTATTTGTTTTATCTACTATTCTCCAGTTGCTCCGCCTGCTTATTTATTTATTTATTTATTTATTTTGCTTGTTTCTAAACCCACTCTGAGACGTTTGGAGGTACAGCCTTAGACAGCCTCTGCTTACAAAGGAACCACCTCGGGCAGCGTTTGCTGCAGGCAGCTGGGCGCTTCCAGCTCTGTTCTAGTTTCAAGTGAACGTTCCCATATCCCCTCCAAACAGCAACAAGCTGACTTTGCTGCACCTTATGAGTTCAGACGAATCAGTTATAAGTGCACCTTGCTACATCTGCCCCTCCTTTTGTTACAAAGGTGACCTTTTCTAGTCTGACTGTTCAACCCCCCGGATTGCCTGTTTCTTCAATGGGGATAAACGCCTCTCTGAAACCTCAGCCCGCCTTCCAAATCCATTCTTTTTTATTTACACAAACATTACAGTTACTGGTGGCACATTGTCTTGTGCACTGAAATCCATCCTAAACTCAACAGAGATCCCCTTTACTTTCTAGATAGCATTCTGCCCTTCTCCATGCATCTGCTTCAATGTGGGACAAGAAACTCTGGAGCAGGGATCTTGTTGCTGCTTTATCCACCCCATGGTGGTTCACAGACTCCCGCACAATAGTGTAAACCACAGCATTTCCCTTCTCACCTGTGCCTGTGGATCGCAGCACGTGCTGCACCGTGCTTTCCTCTCATCAGCCAGTTTCCTCTCCTTTGCCATGCTGGCTTTTGGGTTGTATCCACAGTGCAAAGCATGGCCCACAACTCTGCTGGGGTGGGAGGACTTTTGGGAGTGAATTTTGCCGTTTAGCTGAATGCCTTGTCAAAGGTTAGTTTATCTTCTCAAAGTCTCTCCAAGCTGCCGTGTTCTCCCTTCGGCCCAATCACAGCCTGCTGTATGATTCCACATTCCTTTATATTTCTTTATTTATTTGTTCTGAGGGAAAGGAAAAAAAACACCTTGTTACACTTTATTTAAGCGTAGGATAAGGTACGCACATTTGCGTGAGATCCTCCCTGGAATAGTGTTAGAACAAGCATTCAGTCCTGGCTTGCATTATTTTACCTCTGTAATCTCAAGTTTGCTGCAGGGAACTATCCTGTCCTGGCGAGAAAACTGAGAAGACGGTATCTCTCTCGTGTTCCTATAAATCATTTAACAAAGGCAATATATTGGAGCTAAGCCAAGTTCCTCAGAATAAGGCATGTTTCTGCTTAACCTTCAGTGAGGTCTCATTTGTTGCTCTACTTGACAAGGCATAGCCTGCATTTGGTTCTGCTTGGCCGGGGGCTCCCCAGAGGACTAGGATGCTCGCTCTTTCAGTCGAAGCCTCATAGTGTGTGGTTCGAAGCAGAGCTTGCCTGATGTGTTAAATACACTTTGCTGATGACTTGTAGTGGATTACAAGCTTGAATTTGTGGCGTTGTTTTTTTTCTTTTCTTCACTTGCTTTTGTTCCTACTTGGGATTCACTGTTTCCTGAGAGGCTCCTCCTGAGACTGTGGTACCCACTGGGTGTCCACTAAGGTACGAGGACTGTTCAAGAATGCCTGCGTAAGTCCTGCTTCATTGCAGCTGGCCTGTATTGCTCAGATGTGCTGATGGAGAAGGTGCTGCTCTCAGTGCAGGATTGCTGCAAGCCGCACAGGAGGCAGACTCTTGCAAACCAGCAATTTGTAGTCCATCCCCTTCTCACATTTCTGCGTACTCAGACCTGAGAGGCAGGCTTTTTATAGGGGGGGTTGAATCCTATTTCCACTGAATCCCATAATTGCAATGCTGTTTCATGGGGCCATTTTTTTTTTCCTGCTTCTTCCTGGTCTCTGGTACCTCTGCGGCCATAACAATACCAGGTGTGGTGCATAGCTTATGGGGTGAGAAGACAAATTTCGGCTCTAATGCCTTCTTGTGTATTTTCTGTTCCTATGGCAGAACGGATGTTGGAGAGACTTGCTGTAGCATCTGCCTTGAAAGCCTTACCTCTGAGATGCCAGGCTCTGCTCGGTGTTAAGTGAAATTGTCTGCAGCTCATTAACATCAAAGCATTTTCTCCACTGGTCTGGGCAGCTCAGTAGTAACCAGCAGATGAACCAGAGAGCAGATACGCTCTCTGCTAAACTTTGCCTGCAAACAATTAACATCAAAGGGGAACCACTGTGAAACAGGGGGAAAACAATGCTTCTACTGCAGTGAGCCTCATATTTAGTGCGGAGCAGGGGGAGGCCAGAGCCCCAGCCCAAGGCTTTGTGCTGAGGTGTCTGCAGGAGTGAGCAGAAGAACGGCCGCTGGCAGTATTGCCCACAAATGTGCTGCATTCACTTTGTTTTGAACAGAGCTCCCCAGAGCTGTTCGGAGCAGCATGATACAGGCTCTGGTGTATCAGAGCCCAGCCAGCCTAGTTTCAGGATCAACTTGGATCTGCTGTCACCTCAGCACGCCTGAGGCTTTCACCACATTTCACCACATTTGCCATCACTCTTGAAGACTTTCCTGAGAACAGTTCCACAGTGCTTCATGCCCCTCTCTACTCTTCTGAGGTCTTGGCTAGTGATTCCAGTGCTTCTGCCTCTTTCTAAAGCGGACTTTGACCCTCTGTTTGCCTTTCCTCACAGGAAGCCTATGGATTTAAGCCATTTTTTTGGCTGCCAGACCATTCCCTTCCTCTAGCTCTCTAGTTCATGCCTTCCTCATCTTCTTCCTCTCTGGTCTGGCAGTGGATAAGAAAACCAGGCTGCTGGTATTTACCACACTAGCAGTGTGTGATTAGCGGTGGGGAACAGGAGGGGCTTGAAAACAAATTAAATCTCTGTCTCACTTTCTGCTTGTTCGACCACAGCTCTAACATGCTGCAGCTGCAGGTCAGAAGCTTTTTGTCAAGTGTTGCACCAGCACAGAATAGAAACATGGGGCTATCTCAAAGAGTTTGCAGTCTAAACACTGATCTAGAAAGAGAAGGTTGCAAACAACAATGACAACAAAAATGCCATTATGCCAAATGGTGCCTCTCTGATAATAAAAGCTGGGGTCAAGATTACAGATGATGAACTACAGCGAGATGTGATCAGCCAGCACGTGCTTCCTTCCTGCCAGCTCTTTCATGGGAGTGCTCACTGCCAGCCACAGGCAGGGCAGAGCGCTGCAGGGCACAACTGAAACAGTCAAAGGTTTGTGAGTCAAAGTTGTAGGAGGTGACTTCCAGGCGCTCTAGGGCTAGGTACTTTCTCCAGAAGGCAGGCACACTTTGTGAAAAGCTCATGCAATTCTGTCAATCAATGCACTGACAGATTTCTAACATCACCTAGGCAAGAGCCAGACCATTACAGAACTGTGGGAATTCGTCTTGTCCATCCTAGAAAAAGAAAGGCATATGGAGGCTATGCACAGAATGGTGTTAGGATAGAGTAAGGGTTAAAAGCTGCAGGAGCAAGATGACAAAACTGCTTTTAACTGGAGATTCAACAATTTAAGACCAGCCTCATATGCATACCTGGGCCATCTCTGTCACAGCAGGGATGTGACCTAAGGGCAGAAGAAACAAGGGGTTAATGACAGCTCAATGGCCAAGGCCATGCTGCCACATTCATGAACACTGGCCATTGAATCTCAGGCTTCTACGACCAGATTGCACCAAACGTATGCTGTGAGGATAAGGGGCTCCAAATGGCCCTGCACCCTACCAGAGCAGGCCTGGCCAAACTCTTGTTGCTTTACAGCTGCAAGGACACAAGCTGAAAGTTTTTCCTGCAATGAATTAGAAACCATCCCCTAATTTTGTGTATTAAAGGCCAGCTAATAACCTTTTCTTTTGCTACAATTCAGCTCCAAACAGCTCTGTCCCTTCCTTGAAATTTATCTCCTTTCTCCACTCGAGCTGATAGAGCAATCGTATTTCGTCTTTGCTTTCTCTCTGCTGGACAAGCCAAGCTGAGCTGTCCTGGTTTCCTTTTGTAAGGCAGGCTTCTAGCTGCATGCACCACGAGCCCAGAGCTCTGAAGCAGGATGGACAGCATATCCCAGATGCGAGTGCTCCTGAATGGGGCACAAGCACTTCTCTGTCTCCACGGGAAGCGTCACCTCTGGGACATCCTACTTCCAAATTTGCACGCCGCCAGCGTTGACCCCTCTGCCTTCCCAGCTCCCTAATTGGGTGCAGCTCGGCAAGGTCATGGGAGGGAAGGTAATGATGCTGGTGGCTGGGGTGGGGAAAAGAAGGTCGTGACTCCTGGGTTTCATCTCTGGCCTTGCTGCTTACCCAACTGTATTTCTATTTGACAGCAGAGGAAGAAGACCGTCTGCTGAAAAGCTGTGGCTGCAAATCCCTCCCGCCTGCTTTTCTAGCGTAACACAAGGCGAGGTGTTTCCTCCCTCATGACAGAAGAGTGGACAGCAGCAGCTGGTCCTGCAGCAGGCTCGGGGCAGGCTCTGGGTTGCAACATTTCACCGTTTCAAGCTCAATGCCCCGAGCATTCATAAAGCTGCTGCTGCTGCTCTCCTCCTCCTGTCAGCGCGAGTCCGGTGCGCTCCGGAGCCCAGCCACCAGCACTGCACGGCACCCAGCAGCACCGACCCTTCCCCGGTCCCTCCAGCTGCTCACCGCGCGCCATCAGAAGCTGCGTTACCCCACCACACACCCCTGAGCTCACGCCGGAGCAGCTTTTTACTCGTGGCCTAAGGCTGAAGGGCTAAAACGCAGGCGGCGGTCGGTCGAGGAGCCACGGCTGCCAGGAGGCAACCGAGGCATGTCTCCTTTTGATCGTGGGTCCGGCTGCTTTGGCCGCCCTCAGAGCGGGAGCGGAGATTTCAGTTCTCGGCAGAAACGCGCGCGGCCCTGGAGGCAAGACGCCCCCCCCGTCAGTGACAGGACGTCCCCTCGGGGCCGGGACTTCCCCTCAGGATGAAGCGTCCCCCGTGGGAGCGGCGGCCCTTCAGCATGGGGACGCCCCCGGGGCTGCCGCGGCGACCGCCCGCCGTCGCGTCCCGCGGACCCGCAGGGCCGGGCGCGGCGTCCGCTCGGGACGCGGCGCGAGAACGGCGCCCCCCCGCGGGGCCCGGCGGAGCCCCTCACGTGCGGGCGGACAGCGGGAGGCCGCGCGGGAGAACGCGCAGGCGCGCGGCGGGA